GCTCGCCATATTTACACATTCCCGTTAAATTAAGCATAAATAAATATATACAAACTCAATACTGAATGCCTCTCCGCATTTCTTCTCAGGAAGAGTCGATAAACTGATATTTCTCACTGCATGGTCAGATTTTTCAAGAAGAGGAGGTGAAAGGGATAGTTTGGGGCATAAAAGGAGAATTGGTTTTTTTCTTTCATCTTTCCAGTTTCTCATTCGGTTTTTCAGAGCTTTACATTTGTTTGGTTTTGGGTTTTTTTTTCCTTTACTTCTCGCTGGCACACAATGTTTCGTCTCTCTCGAAATGTTCAGGCGTTTGCCAGTGTGTTTGGGGATATTTTCTTTTACTTTTTCCCTTTGTATAAGAAAATATACTATTTGTAAAAAGCCTACGGTCTCTCTCACACAGGGAAGCCGGAGGGGAGGGGGAGTTTGGCCGGATCGATCTGGCAATGCTTACGGCAGCTGAAACGAGCACCAAATTCTCCGAGAAACGTATTAAAACAGAGCCGAACAGGTCTGCGTGATAAACCAGTCAGAAAGAGATGAGCACGGGAAGGGAATAAGCCCTTTGGGCACAGCTAAAGGTCTTAAAACCATCCTCCCCCCCTCCCTCCCAGCCCCAAATGCAAATTTGGGGATTTGGAGGGAGGTTGGTCTGGGATGCAAAGGGACTTGAAACAGCTTCTCACAGAGAATTTCTATTAGGTGGGACAAGACACGACCCGATTTTAAAGAAATCACCGGGTTGTAAAAGGATTCCCATAAAATTGGCTTCTTGTTTCCTTCACACCTTGTGTGAATAACAACCAGGGGAAAAAAAAAAAAGTCAGGGAGCGTACAAAAACAAAGATCTTTCCAACGGAAAATAGAGAATTGTTATTTAAAAAAAAAAAAAAAGCGAGACTAAGAATGAAATAAAATTTACAGCAACCCACCTGTTTGCTTTCAAAACAAACTTTTCACGGTCTCTCCTCAAACTTTTCCCTTGAGTTAAAAAGCAAAGCTGCCGTGTTAATCCTCCTGTTTATTGATTTATGATCCCGAGGAAACCAAATCTTTTAATAACTCAATTATCAGATAAACGTCTGAGGTGCCCCGCCAACACAAGTAGTCAGGCTGGGAAAGTGCAGGGGAGCAGGACAGTGCCTTCGGGCGGGAGGCTGAGTTTAGTTTTTGGGGAACCTCAGTCCTCAGCGCTGATAGAAGCCACTGAGCAATGGGTATTTCCCTCTGGGACCAGCACCAGGCTAGGGAGAAGAACAGAGATAGATATACTCCTATGCTGTGTTTTCTCCCTGTTTGCATTTAAATTGGAAACCTTATGGATTTTATCTCCGTACTTTGAGGAGCAAATGGGGGGCATCCCACTGACATCAATGGGAATTTTACTTTTGGCTTTATTTCGCCTGAGCGAAGCACAGCCTGGCATTTGCAGCCCGTCTCTTCCAGGTAGAAGGCACGAGAGGCAGAACCAAAGTTGCCAGAGGTCAACTGAAACTCTTCCCTCAACCTTCTCAAGGTTTAGGTGCTGGTCCAGGTGACCAAACCTGTGCCTAGGGGAGATTTGAGCAGCAGCAGGATCAGGCCCTCACACATGCGTGAGTGCACAGGTCTGTCCCCAAGAAGTTGCAAGTGGCTCCCTCTCCTCATTAACTTACAGTGGTGGTGGGATACTGTCTTCTGCAATTAAAAGGAGCATCCCCAACATCCCCCCAAAGACGAGGAAGGACCATCCCCAACAGCCCCCCAAAGCCTTCAGCTGGAAGCTCCGGGCTGACAGGGAGCAGGTCCCCATGTCCCTGCATGTGCAGCTGGGGAGGTGAAAGGCTGAGACCTAACTTGGGGTGTGCCCCCACCCAGGACCCCCATTGGGCCAGGTGACACCGGAGGGCTGGGCCCACGGGCTCCTCACAAAGGCTTTTTGCAGAGGGCAGGCAAAGCAACGTTCAACACTTTGTGCTTTGCTTCAATAAACAGAATATTCTCGTCAGGCGGAGGAGGGAGATGTGCTTTCGGGTGGTGCCATTCATTCCTCCCCAGATACACACACGCGTACCCCTTCCCTTTCCCGCGCATCGCTGCTGGGGCATGCCCTGCGCTGGAGCTTGGATTGTCCTTCCTCGGGGGCCTGCTGAAATTAGGGGGTGGTTGGCAAGGGGTGGGCTTTGGAGGACCAGGGGCTGCCTGGGGGCTGCTTTTCAATCTGGCGGTCCCCAACCTACCGGTGGGGAATCCGTGAGATCTACATCACCCAGGGATCCACGCCTTCTCTGGTGACATCCGCAGGGGCGTGCCAATTACCAAACCCACTGCCAGGGTCGAAGGCTACCTCCAACTCCTCCCACAGAGAAGGCTGTCTGCCTCAGTTTCCCCCTTTTCTCACGTGAGATTCCTCACAGCGCTCTGTCCCACAAGAACCAAAGGGACGTGAATGAGGAGCAGCTCCAGAGGGGTCAGTGCTCCTCGGGGCTGCATGATTCCTCGGTTTCTATTGCCACATACGTCCAACTCACGGGTAGGGAACAAAAGCCGAGACCTTCGCTTGCTGCACAAAGATTTGAAAAGCAGAGCAGGCCCTCAGCTGTAGCCATTTCTCAGATAGCTAAGGACACTAAGGGTGACAATCAAGAGGCTCATTTGCTTTTTTTTTTGTTTTAAGAAAATGTTGTTGGGGGATGTTGAGAGTATTGCTGAATTCTTTCTCCCCCACCATCCAACTTTGCAAAGTATCTAGAAACTAAAACAAGGCTAAGGCTTCTCTTTTGTTTCTCTCTCTCTCCCTTGTTTTGAGTTCAGGTGTGCCTGCTTGGGTTGGTGGGATTGAGTCCTGCAGCTTTAACAGGGATCCTGGGGGGAGGCCTGACCCCACTGGAGTTTTGCCAGCGACTCCAGGAGATTTACCCACACCCAGTAACTGTTCTGACATAAGCAAAAAGATGTGTTAGTGCACGAACCCTACCCCACTGAGAAACACATGCAATTACCCAATACGGCAGAATCCAAACAGAAATTCATATCCTTACACTTCAGCATTGTTTTTACCACAGAAGACAAAGAAATGTATGTTAAAAACAAAAAAAAGGGAAAAAAAACAGACTTGCCCTCCACCCCCCCCAAATCATATGCATAAGACATCCTGTCATACACCAAAACCACCGAGAAAAACATTGGAGTTAAGAAGTTTTTTCCCCCTACCACACTGACTTGTTCTAAAGCAAGAGTCACAAGACATTTTTTTTTTTAAAAGCTTTCTAAGAGAAACAGATTTCCTTAGACTGAGCTCAGAGATCAGGATATTCCCTGGCAAGCCCTCCCCACTCCCATCACGAGGAGCCAGCTCACATGGCAACCCTTTCCTCCCTGGGTACAAAACCCTGGCGCCAAGCAAGTGCGGTAACATTCAACACAGCTCTTATTTTCTTTGCAATATTACACCTCGATTTCAACTTATATTTTTTATCTCGTTCAAATTATTCCCTTTGAGCTTCTTTAAAGAAGTGCACCTACAGAATTCGGAAACAACTGGCTTTGATTTGAAAAAGCAAAAAAAAAAAAAAAGAAAAGTATCAGAATATCAGAATTGTGGATTTTTTTTCTCTGTACCTGATATATTGTGTAGGGATCTCTAGTCCTCTTTGAAGAAGCTCATAAGCCAAGCGGGCAAAGCTTTAGGAAACAGAAGAAAATAAAATAGTGCATACTCCTGAGAAAGAATTACATACTCATATCACTCATTTTTTGTTGTTGTTAACAGTTCTTTAAAAATGGGGAAGGTATCACTCACACACACTACTCAAGGAAATTAAGGACTGAAACATTGGCATAGTTAGGAATATAAAACTCCCTAGAGAAAAAGAGGAGATCTCAGAAAATTAAGAAATCAGCTGACATTTTACCAGACCTTACTTTCAAATTTTGCAACCCATTATAGACAAGGCATTTTACCATCAAAGGCAAGTACTAAATTACAAAGGTATGTTTGCATGCATGAATATGTGTGGCTATACACACATATTATATATATATATATGGACATATCCATATATATCCATATATATATACAAACATACATAGGATACACACGCACCCCTATCAGGTTATGTGTGTGCATACGCATATGCACACACATAGGCACACACGCGCCCATACACACCTGTAAACGCTGGTAATCTAAACAGAGAGTCTGTCTAGACCAGGAAAAACAAAAAAAGTTCTTAAAAAACAGAGTTAGCTAATTCAACTGAGCTACCACGACTCGAAACTTCCCATCTCATGGCATCTAATGTTAAGACGTTGCCATGAACGCAGCTCGAACGGGCTGGCGTTGGTGACTTTGTGAGACGTCTGCGCGCTCGCCTCCCCTCCTTTCCTAGTCTAGACAGAACCAGGGTGGTGAGGTGAGATGAGATGGGAAGAGTTGGGGGGAATGAAGTGATGGGGCTGCTCAGAAAGGAACGCTCTGGAAGATCGTTTGAGCTAGGGTGGAGACAGGACGTCGTTCAAAAAAAAAAAAAAAAGAAAAGAAAAAGAATAAACCAAAAATAATAGCAAGACAGACCGTGCAGCTCAAGAAATCAAAGCACTGACACCAAAAATGTTTCTCCGATTTCTTCCAATAAGTTATTCATTTCTTTCTTTTATTATTATTATTAATTATTATTATATTCCCCTCCCCCCCAAATCATTATTTAAAAAATGTGAAAGAACAGAAGTGGGAAAAAAATCCTGGTGGTTGTCTTCACATGTTCCTGGCAAGAGACTCTGAACCACTGGTCTTGCGCCATTGTGCTCCTCTGATCTTAAATTATTGTCTTTCTTTTATTATTATTATTATTTTATTATTATTATTTTGTCCTACCTAATAGAATTCTTCCAAAGCCCAATCCAATATTTTTAAAGCTAAAATTAAGACGGTTTTGTTTTAAAAGATTATCTCTCTCTCTTTCTTTTCTCCTTTTATTTATTTAACTTTTTTCTTTTCCTTCCTTTCTTTCTTTTTATTTTTTTTTCCTCTCTCTCTCTCTCATTTTCTGTGTTTCTCTTCCTTGTCTCCAGTTTTACTACCTGGTCCTTCGCCAGATGTGTGCCTGTTAGCAGTGTTGTTGTTCAAGAACATCTTGTCCATGCCTTTGAGAGCTTCAGTCAGGTAGTTTTGAAGGGCCGTGAGGGCAGCGCAGATAGCGGGGGCCCCAAAGCCGTGAGTGATGAGGCTGAAGTGAGTCAAGCAGCTCTGAATGCCCGGTTCCAAAATAGGGGTGGGCCGGCTGTTTCCAATGGGTGTCCTGTCCTGGGCCAAGAGATCTGTAAATTCTTTACAAAGTTGCCTGCATGGAAGAGAGAAAGCCAAAGAGAGGAAGAGAGAGAGAAAAGCAGTGGTTAGCCTCATCCCACACTTCTCCGAGACAACCAAGGTTGAAGGAAGGGACAGGTTCAGGACAAAGGTGATCCCAGGCCCCAGGATGGGACATTTTTGCCACCTTCCTTTCCCCCAGCAGTGCTTGGGGACCGGCCACGGCGAGCCGGCAGCTCCCTGCTCAGGATGATGTTCTTCAGGAGAGAAGTTTTTGCAGTTGCAGGATAACACCAGGTCTGGAGATAGAAATCTCTCCTGCAGCCACAAGGATGCTTCTGGGGAGGGTTAGATTGGGTATTAGGAAAAATTTCTTCACTGAAAGGGTTGTTGAGTGTTGGAACAGGCTGCCCAGGGAAGTGGTGGAGTCACCATCCCTGGGGGTATTTAAAAGACATTTAGATGGTGCTCAGGGCCATGGTTTAGTGGTGGACTTGGCAGTGTGAGGTTTACAATTGGACTCAATGATCTTAAAGGTCTTTTCTAACCTAAATGATTCTATGATTCCAAAGCCCTGTGAAAACCCAACCCTGCTTGGTGGCTCTAGAAATAACCGGGCTGAAACGGAGATGTGCCATGGCTTTGTCAACCACCCATCTTCCCGGAGGCCTGACCTTGGCTCAAAGCAGCTCTCACCAGTGCTGTTCCTGGGGGAAAGCACAACCACGCACTGATTGCTACTGGGTGGCACGGGGAAGGGCCAAAATGGAGCCTCCTCTGAGACTGCTCAGGTTGGGCCACCTTGTCAAGAAAGATCAGGAATTTCAAACTCCATGCAGGTTTCTTCATCACATGAGGAGCAAAGTGAACACTTCCTACTTTATTTTGGGGGGTGGCACCCCAATTAACACATCAGAGTTGACATCTGGCTCTTGTTTTTTTGCCCGCACCTTTGAAAAATCAGATTTGATTTTTCTAAGGAATTCCCCCACGCACACTTTTTTTTTGCATTGCTCTGGTCCACAAGGCCTTCAAGTCAACAGGTGCCCAGGCAATGTAGAAACCCTGGGGGTTGGTGGGGTTCCCAAAGGAATAATTTCTTTGAGACAGATGCCTACCCAGGGACTGGAGAAAAAAAGGCCAGAATTAAAAAAAATAAAAGAAAGAAAAAGAAAAAAAATAAAAAAAGAAAGAAAAAAAGAAATCCTTAAAAAAGGCATTCAGCTCTCATCCTCTGAAATTCTGTGAAATTCCCGGTGGGTTAAAGGTTTCAGAGGGTGGGGAAAGATAAAGGTCTACTTCTATGTGTATTATCCATTAAGAAAGTGCAAGAGAGGAAACTTTGAATTTGGAGAACAAACAGTAATGAGTCCAACATTTTACATCTTCAAAGAGCAAAGCAGGGTCTGCGAGCAATTAAAGTTCTGGGACATTAATATCTTCTGACCCTGCGGAAAAGGGCAATCAAATTCCAATCACGTCTAAAAAACATCTGGACAAATTTGAGCAAATGATTTTTCAACCCTCCATATATTTCTTTAAATTACACTGTCATCGGAGGCAAGCCACATCCCAGAGCATGAAATAAATGAGAGCTGTTTGGGCTGTTAATTTTTTTCTTTTTTTTTTTTCCTTTTTTTTTTCTTTTTTTTTTTTCCTTTTTTTGCCGGATAGATGGAGACGTGTGCAGACACACAGCACCCACTGCCGAGGACCTGAGCAACCTATGAAGCACCCAGTTAGTAGCCTGGGAGGCACAGCCAAGTGTAAATCATCACATACAGCAAATCCACCCAGAAAATCCCAAGGGAGAGAGATGGGCTGGGGGGACCAAACCAAGGAGCATTAGCAGTACATAGTGGTGGGGTTTTTTTCTTTTTTCTTTCTTTTTTTTTTTAATAACATTATGGAAAAGACATTGCAATTTGGTAGCAGACAAACAGGTGTGTGTGAGCAGCAGGAGGGACAGACAGACGCTGTTGAAGCAAAACACGGATTTTTGGTCGCTTTTCATAAAGATTTTTTAACTGGGGGGGGGCTTGGAGACGATGTACAGTAGCTAGGGGACAGTTGCCTACATCCTCTATAGGGACAGAGGGTGTTGGCAGAACCCCCCCTGCAGAAGGATGCAGAAGCTATAGGGTCTGCCTTGGCCATAGGGCGACTCGAGCATCCTTCCTCCCCGCGGGACCGCTAGAATTTGGGGTCTGGCAACTCCGCCTGCTTTCAAAACGAGCTCAGAGGAAGGGTTTCAGGAGGGGAAGGATAGAAGGGAGGCTGGGGGGGGGGTCAACTTGGCACTCACTTTGTAGCAAGCAGCATGTTTTTCCTGGAGTGGAGGTCGCTGGGGTCCGTGTGCTGTCTGTTCAGGTACTCAGAAACAGCTTTGGCTGGGAACTCCGTTTCGCAGATGTACCCAAAATCCCGAGCTAAATGAACGGCCTCACCTGGAGGGGAGGAGAGGGGACATTAACACCCCCGGGTACCGCCGGCCCCGGGCTGGTTCCCACCTCCCGAGGCTGCTGCCCCCCCTCTGCGAGAGACCAGCTCTTTCAGGCCGGGTTTAGAAACCTTATAACATCCCTTGTACCTTAGGGACAGGCTCCAGGTATATGGTTTCCCTCCACAAGCCTTGTTTTGGGGGGCAGAAGTAAGTTGATGGGACCGATTTTTCAGCTGATGAGATTTGTCTTTGCTACAAGGCGCTTGTGATGGTACCTACCCCTGCAGCTGGTTGTGCAGAACTGTGGGAAAAGCACGCACACATATACATACATACACACATGCGTACACACACACACATATATATTTTCGAATTAACTGGGCCAGAAAAAAAGGAAGGGGAAATTACTAGTTCAATCCCGTAAGACAAAAGGACTCAAACTTCTCTTAAGAGCAGAGAAACCACTCCTGTTTCAATACACCAGATCCTTGTCCAAAATTTTACAGATGTGGACATAGTCTTAATATTAATGTCAATTCTTTGTGGGACATCATATACGCGCTTGTTTATACACACACACAGAGCACTTCCATCACGATCACAGTTATTACCACATCTGTAAAATGATGGAGATAACTGCATTTCATCCGATGGAAATTATTAATCTGCATTCTTAGCTGACCATCATGCAACAGGAACTCCTCTCCGCCCGGTGGAAAGGTAGCAACCAATGGCAACCTTTTCTGTGAAAAATAATAATTATTCTAACTCTAATTGTCACTTTTCCTGCCTGTCTGGTTTCAGGTTTCTTGCCTCCAGAGGTTCGTGTCATCCAACTCCTACTGATGTACTTCATGCCACAAGAAGAAGACAGTAGCTGCAGAAAGGAGGAAAAGAGGAGGGAGAAAAAAACCCTCAGACTCTAGGGGGATTCTACCAGATTATAGCTCAGCCCCTATAGAATAAAGCATTAAACCCTTTAAAGCACCGCCTGAGGGACCAGGGGGAAGATTTCCAACACGCAGAACAGATATATCTAATAACTCCAGGACCACATTATTTTTAACGATCAGGAGTTGCTTTCCAACGTCATCTTCTGCTTTCCAAGGCTTCTCGCTAATCACCAAACCGCTTAATGAAAGCGAGGACACCCTGAGGACCCTGGGGGGGGGGTGCCCCCCCCCGCCGCCGTCACCCTGTGCCGGGCAGGGTCCCCCCCCCGGGGCACGGCTCTGGTAATTCTGGCCGGAGCTTTTCTGCTGGTGGCAGAAAAGCAGATGAATCTCCAGCAGGTAGAGCTTCTTTTTAAAAGGAAGGAGTTCTCTCAAGGTAAACTGTTGATTTGTAAAGAAATCAGGGGAGAGGAGGGTAACGTTCACCTTACTACACACTTGACACAGATTTTAGCATCGCTCTGCAACCGCACCGGCTTCTGAACCTCAAACCAGCTTTGGGGAAGGGTTGATTTTGCTGTGAGTGGGGTACACCGCTTTTCACCCACCCAAGCTGCACTAACCCCGGTGTTAAAGGGCAGTTGTGACCCCCCCAAATGCTTCACGTCCCCTATAGCGCGACCCTATATCCGTAACCTACGCGGAGCCTTGCGCACTGGGCATAACCTATATGCGGGTACCAGGAGGAGCAACTTTCTATCAGCCCCCTTTGTTTTGGGAGCCTGCCTTCAGCTCTGCATGCGGTAAGGTCTTATCGCTCACATAACTCAATCAAAAGAGTTGAAAAGTTAATATCTAGCACAAATGTTTATGCACGCTTATATGCAGAAGAGATAAGTGGATTATTTATACGCCTCTCGGTGTGTATGTGTAAGGCAGATACATATAATTCATAATTGCATCCATACTATTCCGGTTATGTTTTTTGGAGAAGGTCCAACTTCTCTTAGTGTAAACACGCACATATCCTAAACATATTAGTGGCTCTAAATTTTACTTTTCAGTACAGTAACGATAAATCAAAGAAACACGCCGAACACCAAAATGACATTAGTTGACTTGAAATGAGGTAAAACTTCAGTCTGCCCTTCCCTCTCTCCTTCCTCAGGAATAGCTTGTGCCTTTGTTCAGTTCTAGCCACCTTAAGGTAAACCGCGCTCTGTGACTCTTCAATTGCTCTGATTTCTTTAAAAAAAAAAAAAAAGTATTATTTTTCCTCGTTGAGCGTCCTGTAGTGGCCATAAACAAGCTCGGGAGGAGCAAATTAGCGAGAGGATGGAGGAGACGTGGAGTAGGAGAGCACAGGCTGGAAATTAATAGCAATGAGGAATGGGATTGCCCTGCAGAATCACACACACATGTACACACACACACACACACACACACACACAACCTCATTCTTACCACCAAGAAGAATCACTGACCTTCCAGCCAGCGACTTCATTTTTGGGGATGGGATCCCTAACCGTGCCGCTGTTCATGCTAACCCGCCCTGAATTTCACCTCTGCAAGGTTTTTCCCACCTGATCCCGAAAGATGGTGGGGGTTTGGGGTTTTTTTATGGTTCGTAAAATGTCAGACAGGAGTTCAGAGCAGGCAGGGGTGTGAAGGGAGCTGCAACCCTCGGCTTACCTTCCACCAGGGAGGTGAGTAAAGTGACATTTGCGGCCTTACGCCTGCCGGCTGGTAAATTCAAACCGATTTTTTCTAGCCTTTCTCGCAAAGATCTCCCCCCGTTTTTCGATTTGGCTCTAGAATTGCAAAGAAATTAACATCGTGATTAACCCCGCAGTGTTCCTGGAAGAAACGTTTAGTCTGTGCAGTCAGTGGAGCCTGGGAGGGTTTTCATTCGACGTTAAGGACTTCGGGTGTGTTGGTTTCTGCTCGGGTTTGCTGAGGTTTCCTTAATTTCTCCCAGGGGTAGGAGTGGGGATGAACCCACTTTTCTCCCTATTTTATCCGGGGAAATCCAATAAAGCCAGACAGCAATAATTAATGGACAGTGTTCTGATCCAGAGAGCAAATGGGTTCCTACTCTATGGCACTAACTCCTATTAGGATGGAGTGAGGAGATGGGCAGAAGGGTAGAGGAGAATTAAATCCTCGTTTATTCCAGAAAAGGGCCAGAAAGGGAAGAAGAAGGAGGGGGGGAGGGGGGGGGAAGGTGTGAAATCTGAAAGGCTCGAAGGGAGAATGTGTGCCTGTGGATAGATAGAAAAGGAGGAAAATATTTATTAAATCATTTCGTGAGTGTGTTCTTGGGCGGGAAGGCGATGCTGAGAGGAAGAGCTCACCTGAAGGCAGGGTGCGTTATACAGAGGGAACCGATTGCCTGAAGGAAGATTTGAATATCTGTCGGAGGTTACTGATAAGGACAATAAAAGGATGATGGAGCTATAGGTGGGAAATACAGAGCTATTGTTCGGACGCCTATACATATGTAAAGCCCCAGGGATGAATTCTTGCCACCTGCGTAATCAGGGAGAGTTTTGGCACCTAAGATCAGAGCCTGTCCCGAATCTCTCTCTTCGTTCTTACTTAAAATTTGTTTAAGAATTAGCAGTCACGCTTAGTGAAAGGAGACCAGAAACGACAGACAAGCCAGACTGGCTTCCCACTATTTTATATCAAAGTAAATAGGGCTAGATGGCAGAATTGCAAGCGAGCAGCTTTCTGTATTTCATCTGCTCTGAACCAAAAGCTTGTCTAAAATTTAGATTCAAGATAGGAACTGAAGTCAGCAGCAGCCAATGGTTACGGCTTGGGCCACCTCCAGAAATCCACTGAAGTTCCGTAATGATGTTTCTTTACCTTGATAATTATATTTTCTACAGTGCATCTCTCAGATGTTCTCCCTGCTCCATTTGTAGCTGTACGGAGTGAGCAGGCAGGTTAGCATCTGTAAGTAAAAATCTCTGCTGCTCTCACTGGCAAGGATCACAGCTAAACATTGATTACAGACATTCACGTGGAACAGCATCTATTTTAGGAGACCTTAATTCTCACGTGTATATTTGGGTGACTGACTGCATGTAGCAGGACTTTCCCCCTCCTCTCCAGACACGGAGCTGGAGCCCCTGACGTCATCACAGATTTTTTTTGCAGGGAAAAAAACCAAACCCACAAAACCAAAAAAACAACAACAAACAACAGAGCAAACAATTTTAAAAAACCTTAGAGTCACTGTTGCCCAATTGCTGCTACGGATGTTGGCAAGATATTTCCTCCTCTAAGATTAGCAACTTTTAAACGTGATCTGAATTTTTTTCAGGACCAAATTAATCGCATTTGTTTCTGTCTCGAAGTTGTGCTTTATTTTCCAGTCCGACGTATACCTCACGTGTAGAAAATGAAGCCTTATCCCCTCTCAGCTCTCCATTGGCTTGAGTGAACTGGTACCTTATACCATGTCATGATTTCTTCCCTGTTCTGACCAGAGATAGAGCCCTAGCTCACCTTTCTTCCAGACAAGTCATACGGACAATTCACAGTCCTTCAGTCACTGTCAAGAAGATAAAGCCCTTTCTCCTGTTAGTCTTTCCAGCTGACGACCTCGGAGCTTAAATTCTTGTTGCTTGTGCCTAAATGCACAATCTCCCACTTGATGTGCTGGAGTGGCAACCAGGCCTCCAGGTTATCCCTCGCTCCTCCTTTTCCTCAGTACCAATAATGCCGGCTATTTTGAGGTCCTCAGCAAAATCCACCAGAACAGTAGTGGGTGATTTGCACACAAGTTAAATGACAAAGGCCTCAAGACCAACTGTGAGCAATTCCTCTAGCAACCTTCTCTAGATGAAGCGCTAAGCTTCTGACTTTCAAAGCTATCTGTTGATGGCTTTTCTTTAGTCGGGTACTTACCTACCTTACAGGTTGCCTATTAATCCCCTGCCATTTCGACAATGTCTTGTGTCACACCATGTTAATTGCCTTATCGTTATCGCCATATAGAGGAAACCTCATGGATTTATCTAGGAAATCCCTAGAGATACATCAGGTCCTGAAATACATCAGGTTCATCCTGCAGCACCTAACTGCAACACGCCCATCACGGCATTTTATTTCGTCCTTTTGCTTAGAGAGAAGCGTGAGGAGAAGGAGAAAAGATAGAACGTGTGTGCAGGTACAAGAGTGAAAAAACTTCTTGTCTCGGTTCCTTCATTTTGGGATGCTTTGATAGAAAACGTACAAGGCCAAATCTTTCTCTGGTCTCCACATGTTCACCTCAATGCCCGAATACAGCATATTTCCACCTTACCCTGAATATTTGCAATCATCTTTACAGTTGACCAAGTATTACTGGTGCATGCATGGATGCCCACACATGGGCATGTTCACACACTCGCCCCAGCCTCTTACCTTCTAAGTACTCCTCCTAGGAGGGATGCATTCAGACACTCTGGAGGAGAAAGGCGTCTTTGAACTTCTCCCACAGTTACTTTATACTTTGAAGTTGAACTAAGCAAAGACAAGCGGCCAGGTACAGAGCAAAACACCTCTCCGGTATTGACTGAAATTCCACCCAGGAAGCCATCTTTATTCATCATCAAAGAAGTAACAGATTTTGGAGGAACCGGAACTGGAGAAAGAAAAGGGGAAGAGGGGAGAGAGAAACCATCATGCCACGAAGGAGTACAGGATAACCACAGTCTCTCTGACATGCACAGAACAGCAAAATGAAAGGGAATTTGGAATCTCTGGCTACCTCCAGCAACCTAAAGGGTGCTGCTCCCCCAACCTCTAGGAAATTGCTCCATGAATGATGGATGGAGAGAAGGGTGGTGCAGTACAGCCTCTATGCAGGGTTTGATCAATTGGGAAATAAAATACATATTGGCAAGCACCTGGCAACTTTCGGGTTTGAGCCTGTGTCTCACCCAGAGCCCCCCGATGCCTTTTGTACAACGGACAGCGCCTTTCTGGAGGGGAAAAAAAAAGGAAAAATTTACTTTTTTTGCTAATGTTTCCATTACTGCTAAGCTGAGCCAGGAATAAATTCACTACACGAAGAGAGTTGCTGTCTTAAATAAGTATCAAGGCTGGAGGATACAGCAACCAGAAGACAGCTCTGTTATTGCTTTGTGTTTTTATTAAGTCTGGTTTATGAAATAAAATGAGTCTTTTCCTTCAGAAAAATGAACACCAGGAAAAAAAAAAAAAATCTGGTCTAGCCATGGCATTCGCTACCTTGATCATATTGTGCTGTCCGTGAAGTAGTGGGAACTCTCCCGCTCCTAAATAAAGCTGATCTCGTTACAGTAACATGTATTTAAAGGAAGTTATGGGGGAAAAAAACCAAAACAGAACAATAAAGCGAAACTACACAAAATAAAAACATGTCATTCTGTCCACGATAAAAGGGAATATTTCTTTTCTCTGAGAAACTAGTGAGGTTATTTTAAGAGTAACCAAGGGGACTATAAGGCACAAATTCCTATAATAGCAACCAGACACACTCCGAAATAAACAAAAAAAAATGGCTAAACTAAAAATGAGAGCAATTCCCCCGTGACATGAATTTTGTTTACAAATGAACTTAAATAGCTCCCTCATAATTGTAAGTGTTATGATTTACAGCAGGTGCTCTAATCAATCAACCAATCACTTTAATTTATAGGGAGCCTCGCTGCATTTTCCCAGTTGTTTCATTTCTGCAAGTAATTGATAACAAACCGTACTTAAGGTATGTTTTATGCAGGAGTTAATAAGAGCTGACAGCTGCTACTGCTGCTTCCTCTCGGAATCGCGGCAACACGCGTTTCCTTATAGAAAATATACTCCGAAATTGGGGGCGGGGGGGGTGCTGGTGGTAGAATCCTGGCAGTCCAGCGGGCATGTTTCAGAGGAGAATACTAATTGATTACACACCCTCGACGAGCAGATACTACTTCACAGTCTCCCATTTCCACTCAATCAATTGCAAAACCAATTCGGCAAATAATAGGGTTCTATTATGCACATATGCCAGCTATTTAGGTAGTTATAATACATGTCAGTTAAGTCATAAAAACCCTGTTTATTTGCAACATATCTGGAGAATCAAACCATTAGGGTTGAGGGGATATTTAAGTCGTCTGGAGCTGCTAAACAATAAGATCGGGTATCCTAATATATTACCAAGTGCTAACTACTGGGCAATTGCCAATTTTATAACCTCAGTGTATGGAATAGACACAACCGTGTTTCACTGTTTTTATTACAGATCATTTCCTACTGCCAGACCAGACCCCCACAATAAAAGCTCTATAACAGCTAAAAACCAAAAGGCATGTCGATTTTAGATATACATATTGCTTCGTATGCCTTGTATATAGTCTCCAGTATAAACAAATTATTTTGAGTGGCTTTACTTCAGGGAATCAGAAAGTGAAATGGATTCCTATTTCTCTATTATTTTAGTTAGGCACTTTATGCAGCTCATAAAGGCGGTTTCAAATAGTTTGAGAACGGCACAGAAACAGTTATAAAAGAGTTAGAGGCCCGCTCCTGCTTTCGTTGCTATTAATAGGACCTTTTTTTTGCCATTGATTCTATAGGAGAAGAATCGTTTGGGGTATCAGAGGTAGTACTGGCAGGCAGAAAAAAAATATATCTCTCTTCCCTCCCCCATTATGCAGAGATATATCACTTATTTCATGCACGATGTTCTGCAACGTCATTCGAACGAAGCATCAAGAAAAAGTTTTAAAAAAAAAAAAAAAGAAAAGAAAAAAGAGAGATTAAAGCAGTGCCACCAGACAGATTTTCATGACTGGCATTTTTTCTTCGGACAAACACACGGGCTCAGTGGTTCGAGTACACCTTTACAGTGGCTATATTTAGTGACCAGTTTATCAGGTCACTGTCCAGTGAACTGAGAAATTAAACAAGAGGCAGCAATTCCACGAACATCTGATCTTAGTCCAAACTCACTAAAGAGAGAGGGACCCGTGCAACGCTTAAATGTACCTCACCACACTCGCTTTGGCCTTTTGGAGCACTCATTACATTAGTTAACCTTTGAAATATGGATTTTCACGTGCTCAGTATTTTTTTTTTCCTTGCAAATTGCTTTTGGGAAGCAGGCTGGCTCCCTTCCCTGCTATGCTGAGAGCTCCTCAGCTTTTCTTCCTACCACTGCCTCCCCGAAAATGACCGTATGAACATCCCCATCAGTTGGAGTCTAGTAACTCTAAACCCATTTTAGAAGCTTACCAGGCGGTGTAAGCATATCTATTGCAATTTCATAGCTTCAGAGAGATGTATTCTATCTAGGCTCTATATCTTCTGTAAATTACCTAATGCTGCCTCAAAAAAGTGTTTGCCGTGGAATGAATTATCTCTATCTATATCATATCTATATGTTTATCATGGCTATAGCTTTTCAGATATAGCCCAGACATTACCAGAGATAATATAACGTGTGAAGAGAGATACACGTCCGTGTGTGCAGCTGCATATGCCAAATCCCTGCGTGCGTGTAAACTGTAATGCAGAGTATATTTTTAGTCGATGTCAACTTTCCCAGTTGGTTAGGGATTGCCATAACTGCTGAAATAATGCAGGATAACACACACGTATATATGCAGCGTCCCCACCACTTCTGCTTTAACTTTATCCCATTTAGGTTTTGTTATCCCCAGCAGAAACTGTTCGATTTTCTTTCACTCCCAAACTCTATTTGCTGTGTGAATGTGAGCACTCACAAATACATAATTCCCCCTTCCAAAATCTCTGCCTTCTCTCTCTCTCTCTCCTTCCTCCGTTTCTTTCTTTCTTTCTCTCTTTCTTTCTCCTCCTGTGGTTCCTTCCAGCCTCTTTGTCATTTCTCCCCCTTCCATTTCTCTTCAGCTTATCAATAAACCGGGAGAGCAACAGTAGCCGCTTGATTTGTTAGTAATTATAAGCATACTGTTCCTGCAAACGGGATCTCTAGATGAGTGAGATCGCTTTAAAACGACAGCAGGAAATGGTGGGGAAATGGAGCATGGCGAAACTCAGCGTGAAGCTTTCAGTTCTTTACATGTTTACAATTTTCTGTGCATACATTAAGTCTTAGGGGTTTTTTGGTGGGTTTTTTTTTTTGTGGTGGTGGTTCTCTGTTGGGTTGCTCTCCACAAACGCTTGAAAATGCGCAGAAAAGCAGGCGTACAAGAGAAAATGGAAATAAAAGGGCATTTTAGCAACACTAAAAATAAACAAATAAATAGAATTATGTCCTGGAAATAGCTGAATAACAAGGCTCAAAGCTATGGATATCGTTGCAATAACCCTGCTGAATGATATGATAGTCGATCAGTCAATCAAACAATCAATCAGCAGAGATGTTCCTTATATTGCTTGCTAACAAACGTCATGGACAAACTTATTACTAATCAACTATCGAACTGCTTCCCAATCTTTTTTTTATCTGCCTACTGGGCCCGAAAGGAGTAAAAAGTTCTTTGTCCGTTATAACAACAGGACTTTCTTGTAACTGGTGATTTGGCCCGACTTGGTAGCCAAACCTAGAAAGTCCGGGGTCAGCGTCTTACCCATGGCCAGTAAAAGACCCGGTTCTTATTTTAATTTTAATGAACAAATACAGAAAGTGTGTATTCGTGTCCCCTTCCCTCCTGTCCCTCTCGTCTCCTCCTCTTCCCCCCGCCCCTCTCTCCTCCACCGCAGTCCCTTTCCCCTGAAAGCCGGGACTAAATTTCAAAGTGAAATTCATTCCCCCGAAATTGTTTTGCATTCAATTAAAAGGGGAGCGTAAGGTTCAATGGGTAATCCAGGAAAAAGCACGAGACTGAGTGGCAGCGAGGCAACATCTCCGATTCCCAGATCTAGCACCTGAAAAGCTGGGGCCAAAGTGGGTTTCAGTTAATAATTTATCCGGATACTTCTAGAAGAGGTGGGGAGGAATCTCATGCTGTATTATTAGGAGTTGAAAATAATGTTAAGACACCTCCTTTCGTGTGTTCCTTTAAAATAGCGTGAACAATAGAGCGTGTTTGCACGACGATTAATTAAAGTGTTAGGGTTAAACTGGCCTTTCGTGCTAAATCAGATGTGTGCAGACGATGGTCAGAAACAGCTGAAAGTAAATAAATACATCAGGATCATTTTAAGGTCACTGACCGTGCCCCAGAGTCACAAAAAATTAACTTGGGACTCGGGCCACGCAAGAGTTTGCAGGCGGACAACTTCTTTCGCCATAGACGGTGCCAAGCAAATTTCAGATGAGCAGCTGACAAGGGGACTCGATCTTTTCTTCCTGACACACGGAAAACCTTCCCTTCATTTCAGCAGAAATCGAGGGAAAGGCCTCAAAACGTGCAGCCGGTAAGCTCTCAAAGCCGAGTTAAATCTGGTATTAATGCTCTCGGTGATTATTATCATCTTGATGATTTATCTGGCTCCCTCCCTCCCACTGCCACCACCCAAATCTTAATGGAAGTAGGAGTTAACGATGATTTTTTAATGTCTCGTTGGATTTTTAGACTGTTAATGTACCGCATCCTTCCCATTATTAGTTTATTGATTGTTCATTGACCATTCCCCTTCAAATCGTATTAACCACCCTCTGCCAGTTTAGATTAGGGGAGTTTAAAAAGCACCTTTCATTATTTCACCGCCACCACCACCACCACCACAGTAGAGTTCAGGCTTGGTAGCTTAATGCTCGCTCTAATGGGGCAGCTAAGAGACGAGGGGCCACGGTCCCTGCCTATTGCATTAATAGCTCAAAGGGGGCTAATACAGAAAATTAGCCTTAAACGAGCTCTGGAGATCTCCAAATGAAAGAGCCATTTATCACGCTGGCTACCTTCACTCCACTCGTTTGCTCTCTCTACTGGGAACAACTCATTTCCTCTTAACTAAATTACTTCAGAAATGTCAAGTAAGCTCAGATAGCAAACATAACAAGAGACTGTGTATATGTAATCTATTGCGCGGGATCGATACGCGAGATAAATCGATAGCCGTGTATGAATCCCTATATAATTTCCTTAATATTTTTGGCAATCCTTTTGCATAGATAGATAATTCCCTCTGCAGGCCTCAAAGACCACAAAGAAACAGACACTTACAGTCTGGATGATATAATGAAGTTTAGATTTCAAGTCCACAGCATGCTTTTCCCACTGTGATGTAATTAAAGCATTTTACGCACTAAACTAGGTTTTGGTGAAGTAGACCCCCTCCAACCCTCGTCTAGCAAATATGTATCACGGGGAGTCCTCCACTGCACAAAAATCAGTCAATACCTATCTGTCTATCTATGCCATCCGCCTGCAATAATGACTTGCAGAGTTTAAATAACTTATTCTTACTTCAAAGTACATCCTCACAGCTACAAACTGCAGGGAACAAAGCGAAATTGATACTGAACCCTCTCTGTGTTGCTCCTTCTCTCGTCCTGATTAAATATTGTCTGCCACAAACGTGACCTACTATTTATTACCCATTTCTCTTCCTCCGCACCCAGGAAACTTGCTGCGCAAAAAGACACTGAGCTCACAATATTCCTTTACGCTGGAAAGTTTCTTAGAGCTCAGCATTACTTCCAAGGAAGAAAATACTGCTACAGTGACTTTAAAACAGTTGCAGACGAATCTCAGGATAGGGTTTAGTAACCTAATTTCCAGAGTGCATATGTATCCTGTTCATCGTGGATAAACTGGGAATGTCTCTTCCTATGGCTGCAAACAGACACGTGTAATCCCACCTATATGGACTGAGTCTCTATAGGCGGCAGCTGCTCGACCTGGGGCCGTTGCAGTGCCCATGCACAAGAAGCACACGTAAATCTGTACCTAATACATAGAACCATTAACATTCCCATTTTAGTGCTATTCGCTATCTAACTGTAGCACCCAGCATGCACATTAAATATCTCTGCTGTCCTCGCCATCTGAAGGAGGGAGAGACGCAGACAGAGGGAAAAAGGGAGTAAAAAAGAGTATTTTGGACTGGGTGACCAAGAGAAGAGTGTTCTGCGAAAAAAAACCAGATTGCGAAAGCAAAAGGCGAGCACGGAGCAACATTAGAAAGGAATCTCTCGACCACAAATCAAGCACCAATTAATCAAATACACCCAAGAGGAAACATCGTGTATGAGGTGTCAAGTGGGGGTGGGGAGGGGAGGAGCGGGGAGGGAAAGTGAGAGAAAAAAAAAAGAGAAAAATACAACGAGAAGCCATCAGGTTACAGACCTAGAGCACAAAACCTGCTAAACATTCAAGCTGAACTAAACCAGGAGAAACAACTTTTTTTTTTTTTTTTTGTAAGGTAAGTAATTTTCTGTTTCTCAAAACCACCTTCGGCTTTTCAACCGGTGGTCATAAATGATGCTGCCAAATGGTCTTCAAGTTTTCATCTGTCCTCCCTCAAATAACTAGAGCTTGATCGTGTGTGTGTGTGTGTGAGAGAGAGAGACTGTACACGAGGATTTGAATTAAAAAACAATAAATACACGGAAGGACCTCATGCTGCCTTGAACACATTTTAAATAAACACTCTCCCTGTTATTTTGCTTTACATCCTAGAAGATCATCTCTATTAAAGTATTTGTGCGCATTTGACAAATAATAAGGTCCTGGAGATAAGTGCTGTTGATAGTAAGCATTAGGGACAGCATTTCTAAGCCTCATCTCTGGTACTTAAAATTGAATCTAGAAATAGAAACTCCTTAGATAATTAAAGATAGCTTTTCCTACATTTGCAGTGTGTGATCTGTTTAATGTCTATCAGCATAACACAACACTAATCGCCAAGCATCTTCGAGTGACTGTCAGAGAAATGTAAAAAAATTAAGCAGCTGCAATACGCCCAAAATGAGTTATTGTAATTACATTTAATTAGTTTAATTAGTTAATTATTTTGCTTACAGCTGTACAAGAGACTGCAAACATTTGTTAATATCACATTCCCTTTAACAGTATGGGGTGATTCTGCAGTTACACTAAATCATGTGCGCATATGTAGAAAGATTTAAAAAATGGGCATGGGGAAGGGGGGATTCTTGGAGGAAGGGGGGAAAGAAGTCGGGGCTGCCTCTCCATAGGCATTTCTTTCTCTCCCCTTCACGTCTGATTCGCCTGGGAAATGCATTTAAGCCCCCAAAGGGAATCAACCCCCTTCCCCCATTAAAAGCCAAGGGGTCCCCATCGAGGACTATTGGGGGGGGGTGGAGGAAGAGGAGGGGGCGCGTGGAAACTGCATTTGGGCATGGGGTGCTCCATGAGAGAGCATTTGTGTAATTAAACCCTTTGAAGGACGGGGGAGGGGGGATATCAACTTTTCCTTTCACATCTCTTTCCTTTTCCCTTCGCTCTATCTGCCGATCCAATCAACTATTCATCTTGCTGCCATGTATGCCTGCTTCCCGGATAAATTAATTGCCCCAAAGTAAAAATATATCATGAAGATATTGCTACACAGTAAAAGTTTGTCTAGCTTGTTGGAATAATCCATACCTTTTTTAATGACAGACTGGTCCAATAAGTTCATACCGCTGTTATTGGCATCTTCAACTGACTGTGGATATAAAAACATCACTATTCAAATTGACTGGATATTAAAGAATCGCGTACATAAATCATGTCATTCCAAACTGGAGTTTCTGTTATTTCCATTTATATTAATTCACTAGGGGAGGAGGGATTTTTTTTTACTACTATTATTGTTATTATTATTCCCCCAAATCGACAAGGAAATGAAATTCTTACAAATTATATAGTCTTCTAATAAAAAAAGAGGTGTGAAGCATATGGGGTGCAATACTGGTTTTGTTATCTTATAAAACATAGATATCACATAGACTTCTTTGCATTCGATAAAGCTTTATATTTCTTCCTTTGAAAATCTGGCAATTTGGCAACATCTGCAAGATCTATGGCATGACATAAATGAACACGATTAAGGACAACTTAAATTCTCCCTCCCCTTTCCTCCCCCTCCCTCCTTTTTTTTTTTTTTTTTGGTTTGGTTTGGTTTGGTTTTGTTTGTTTGTGTAACCCTGCTACATCTTAATAATTCAAGGGCCATTTACTTTTTATATATAATAGTTTACATTATGGACTTTTAATTAAAGCCTGAGCAATTCGGAGTGCAGCGCAACGCCCACATCGTATAGGGTACAAGCAGAAAGAGATTTACAGCTCCCGAGGTTGCTTCCATGTCCTGAATCAGTGGGGACGGGGAGGGGGGGAGCAGGAGTATCCATTATCAAAAGTATGAACTATTAAATTGATTGCTTAGAAAAAGTCTCCCGATCTCATTTTCAAAGCCCTTTTTTTTTCTTCTTTCTTTCCAGCCCGCTTAGGAGCACACCTGTTATTATGGCATTAACTTCTTGAGCAGGGAGGAGAACAAAGACGGGCACAGAGGACAGAGTAAATGTTGGGTTTCATTTCTCAACACGAAAGTGGGATACACAAAAACAAACAAACAAACAAAAATTACCGCTGAGTCTGCGGTCGGCACAGCAAAATCGTCTCCCAAAGAGAAGAGGTGTCATAAGAGCAATTTATTGCAGGATTACGACAGGTTCCGTTTTAGGGTAAATTCTGGGTTTCAGAGAAAGGGAGGACCTGTGGGTTTCTTGGTTTTATTATTTTATTTTTCTCATTACCGTCTAGGGTTTGGTTTTTTTCCAGGTTATTGCATATTTGGGGAGTTGTCACATTTTTTTCCCTGGTAAGGAAAACATCTTTACAGCAAAGCAATTATTTTCTTCCCTATTATTTTAACTTTATCTTTGCTACACCGAGAGGCTGAGCTCATCCGGATCCAGCCCTTATCTCCGGCTCTCTCTCTGCTCAGCAGAGACGTTCAAGATGGAATACGGTTTAGGAGAAAATTACATCTCCCCAAAATGTGACGGAACAATATTTTCTATGAGACCTTTGCTTTCATTTTCCCTGAATCCCGGCTCAAACGAGCGCGCACACACACACACACACACGGTGGGTTCCTTCTGTCGTGTGTTTGTGCATGGCTGTGTCTCTCTCTCGTAATCAATAGGCTACATACCTAAAGGGCACAAAATAAAATTACAAAGTCTTCCCTCCTTTCCCTGAGCAGCTCCCAAAGAGGGATGATGAGCAAATCCTGCAGCCTGCTGGAGTGCATCGTGGTGCTCCTCGATGGCACAGAATTGGAGGTAAATATGAAACGCCATCTTTCCTTTTCTTTTTTTTTTTTTTTTTACCCCTCCTTATCTCACCTTATCTCTGGAGTCGATGGTTGTGCACACGCTTTATGTGTGTGCGTGCACTCCGCTCGCTCCATCAGCAACGTGGGTTAGTTGTTGTAGTTAATGAGAAGACTCCTGTCTGATTTTCTATCTAATTACGCCCTCCTGCTGGGTTTTTGTACAGGATATTCGCTCAGCATGCTGGCAGTTAATAGTCACAGAGAGGATCGTAAAGATTTAATTAGGACTGCATGCGGAAACGTGGAAAAACAACTCAGACTTTTAATTACTAGACTTCTTTAGTTAAAAGTGATACCAGGGGTTACTTTATAAGAGACTTGCGTGTTTTGGTGCAACTTAACTTTCCGTGTCTGTAGCTAGCACATAGGAGAGGGGCCGGCAGTGTGAGTGAGGAGGAGGAGGAGGAGGAGGAGGAGGAGGAGGAGGAGGAGTGGAGGTGTGTGAGCAGGGAGGGGAAAGGTGATGAGTCTCCAAATATACTTAGAAAATCTGGAGAGGAAGATTCCCCTCCCTCCCCTCCTCCAATAATCTGATAGCAAGGAGCTTCCTTTATACCATATATATACACCTTATTCGACAGCTAGGGCTATATCTGAGGAAAACGCCTGAAGACTGAGCTTTTTGTTTTCCTTTAAAGAATCTAGATTTCCCCCTGTTTATTTTCTTTATCCTATCTTTTCCTAGTAAACCCCTACTTTTGCCTAGCCGGGGGAAAAAAAAAAAAAACAACCAAACAACCAAACACCCCTCCACACACAAACAAAAACAACTGGGGTGGCAACGGTGTTTTTCAGAATCCCTATTAAATGATGCAAATTTGTTTTCAATAAGTAGGTCTTGGCTTCTCTGCTCCCTGTCTGAGGGCTGTAAATGGCAGATTGAAAATTCCTCTCGAAAAGGGCAGCAATAGCAATACAATACGTCCTGTTTACAATAACAGAGCGCTATCGTGTTACAATCACTTAATTCTACCCCTGGACAATGGCTCACACATGGCCTGGATTTGGTGTTTATAAAATAACTACTGTTTCTTTCTGTCACGCACTCTCTTTCTCTGTCTCACTCTCCCTTGTCAGGCCAACCTATTCTCACGGCACTTATTTGATCAGACATGCATAAGCTAAAGCAAAGAGACACATCTTTATCCAACTACGTACCTAGATATCGGCTCAACTTTTTGGACTACCAAAAAAGGAACAAAAAATAATATTTGGGACCCTTCCTGGCAAGTCTCTCTAGTGTTCGTGGATAATAAGTATATGTTGCCTAAGCAGGAATCTCTGTAGCTGGAACGGATTCCTTGAATCTAGGATAAATCCATATTAAAAATCAGGGTGGAAAACTGCCCAACTTCATCTGTCACTAATGGGGGGACAAGAATAGAAAATGCTGAACGGTAGGAGCGAGTACTGGGCTGCTTTCCCTCCCGCCTGTGTTAACTTGCAGTTGGACACTTCCTCCTTCACGTGTTTCTCCTTGGGATACCCTCCTCTCCCTCTTCCCCTCCTCCCCCAGCCTGAGACCAAACTTTTAGAAAGAAAAGGCCTCTTCCATTTCCCGCGACGTCAGCACCCCAAAAAAAGAACTCCCGCCCTGCTGACCCACAGCCTCGTCTGCCCCGGCCCATCCCCTCCCCATCCCATCCCACCCCCATCCATCGAATCGCATCCCGGCCCCGGCCCCAGCCCCGGCCCCGGCCCGCGGGTGGCGGCGGGACGCGCCGCTGCGCTCGGAGCCGTCGGTGGGACGCACTTTCCGGGAGTGCTGCGCCCTGCCCGCAGAAGGGCTGTTTTATTGGAAAAGGGAGGGAGAGCTGCTTTATTTGAGCTGAGCAGGACTCTTCCTTCTTTCCTTTTCCCTCCTTCTTTCTTTATCTCTCCCTTTCTCCCTCTCCCCCTCTCTTTCTCTCTCCCCCTTTCTTCTCTCTCCCTTCTCCAGTCGCCCCCTTTCTCTCCGTTTTCTCCTTTCTCTTTCTTTTCACTCTTTTCTCCCTTTTATATCTTTCTTCTTCTTCTCTTTTTTTTAGCTCTTTCCCTTTCCTTCACCTCTCCTGTCTCTCTCTTTCTCACAAGAGCAAACAATTACCGGCTTTTCTTCGGGGAAAGTGTAAATATCAAAGCACAAACAGTACTTAACGTCTATCGGTTGTAGAGAGAAAGAAAGAGAGCGATCCCCTTTCTGCATTCACAGAGGTAAAACTCGCCTTGACCTGCAAGCCAGTTTGTCTGAGCCAGGAATGCGAGACGAGACCTGAGCATCGTGCCCGTGGGGGTCAGGGGCTGCCCCCAGGTCTCAAAAGCAGCTTGGAAACCCGCAGAAACCAGCGACCCGACGGCCACTGAGCTCGGAGGCAGGAGCAAATCCAACCAGAAAATCCTTTCTATTTCTAAAGCAACTCGCCCCAGCAAAGCTCGGCGATTTTCCAGTGAAGCCCTAAGACAAGCCTCAAGCCAAGGCAATACGGCCCCCCCTCTTCTCCGCCGCTGATTCCTATAATGTTCAGCAGGATTCTTTTTCAGCGCTATTTTTTTGTTCCTTCTCAACCTCCTCTCTCCTCCTTTCTTTCCCCCTTTCTGTAACTTTGAAGTCCGTATCTCATCCAGTAGTCCAGATCTTTATTTATCCCAAGTCTAATTATATATACATATATATGATACATAGATTTGAGGGAAAAAAAAAAAAGGAATGGAGGGGAACCCCCAAATCCCGACTAGTAAAGCCTGATGCAGGACCTGGCCCCGGGAAGCTCCAGCCCCCGGCTCGGGGGTCCCCACCGGTTGGCCATCCCCTGCTTCAACAAGGTACAAACCACCCCAGCACCGAAGCTGTTAAGGGCCTTTCTGTTTTTAGGAAATAACACGTGATGATGAGTTTCGCGTGGGATGGGAGAAGGCTGGGAAATACTGTGCTTTGAGCCCGGTGAAACTCCTTTGTTACCCAAAAGGGGGAATAAAACTATTTAAAATCAGTGCTACCCTACCAATTATACTTAAAAAAAAAGGGGGGGGGGGGAGTGGCTGATCACCGGTTATTGCTTCTGGTTTGGGTTTTGTTTATATTTTCCCTCCCTCCCGGTTGAAAAATGTAGTAATTTGACAGTTTCATCAAAATCCCTGAACTGCAGGAAATTGGTTTGGGGTGGGGGGAGGGGGGAAGCTGAGATTGCATGGGAAATAACTGGAATTCGAAAAGCCAGGCTTAAACTCTGCCAGCTTTTGAAACACGTGGAATATTTAGAGCAGTATGTCTGCCTTCCCCCTGCACTCTGCTGGCTTGCCATGTAGGGGAGGGTTTACAAAGCTGAGCCTGTGCGTGACAGCGATGAAATAACTTCTCTTTAAGAAAAAAGAAAAGAAAAGAAGAGAAAAGGCGAGGGAGGGGGAGTATCACAACTCGAATCCCAAGGCGGAAAAAGGATGGTAACCCCCCCCGGAATATTGCTGAGGGATGGGGGCTCCAACCTGGAAGGCAGCGTCTGCATTGCCCAGGAGAAAGAAACGCGGTGCCTTACCTGGACCTCCTCCATCCCTGGGTGTCCGATGCCATGCAGAGAAAGGCTGTCCCCCATGCCGGAGTCAAGGCCATGGTGAGCTGAGTGCAGGAGGACGTCTGGCCTCCTTACAGAGTGGTAGTCCCGCCTGGGGTCCAGTCCCGAGAGCTGGGGCAGGGCGGCCCGAGGCTGTGGCAGCAGTGACCCCGTTTCTGATCCCACCTCTTGCCTCTGCCTCTGTCCCCAGGGGTGCTGCTGGGGTTGATGCAAGGGGTTTAGGGAGTAGGGGTCATTGACATGGGAGTAAGGGTCCTGGCTTTGGTGGTAAGGAAGAGGCTGGTAGGGGGGTGGGAAATAAGGCGGCTGGAAATCCGAGGATGGGGTGTGAGAGAGCGGAGGAGCGCTGGAGTAGGGTCCCTGCGAGACGGATCCCAGCTGGGACAGCCTGGAACTGTGGCTGGGCACTCCATCATGCCGGTCCTACAAGGGGAATGAAATAAGAACAACAAAAAAAGAGGACCTTTTTTTTTAAAAAAAAAAAAAAAGTAAAAGGAGCA